TAGCTATTAATGGGCAGGCTCCTGTGCTTGCCATGGGGCTTGCTTGCCTTACTGTATATTAGAGTCTAGTGCTCATTAGTGGTTGCTTTTTGCTTTCGCTGCTTGCTGTACTGCTTATCATCTTACTCTACTGTGCCTGGGAATATTTTAATAACAGCAATGGCGATGCGCCTGGGTTGGCAGATGGCCAACCTTGCTGTTCTGATCTAGTGTCATCTAACTCTGAAAAAGATCTGCTTTGAATCAAAATGCTGCCAGTTGTTAATGTCCCATGTATCTGAGAACTCCCAGTGTCATAACTTGAGTGTGCCCAAATTAGGATTTGGAAATGGCAGGAAGCTCTTAAATATCATAGAATCATAGATTTAGGTTGGAAAAGACCTTTAAGATCATCAAGTCCAACTGTAAACCTAACACTGCCAAGTCCACCACCAAACCATGTCCCTAAGTGCTATCTTTGATAAATAAGACCTTGGGGGACTTCATGCAGGAGATGAGGGGACACACCTGCTTGTCTTGGAGGCTTCTTTCACAGAGGCTGTATCTGTTCTTTATATATGGCGGCTAGACATAGGATATCCTTGTGTAGGAAAAGATGCCCATACTACAGGTGCAGACTGTAGCAGTCATCTGCTTAGGCAATAAGCTGTTAACAGAGGCAGGACTTGAGTGTTCAATAACATAATGGTAGTTATAAATTCTTACATAAAAGTCAGTAACTAAGTAGCACTTTTGTGGAAAGTGAGCTTTCCTATTGCACACACAAACGTAACAGTGGCTCTGTCATGGGATCTCTTGGCGTCTTGCTGTATTTTGAATGTGTGGTGAGAGATGTACCATTTCTGTTCACTTTAGGTCTTCTCATAGCTGCAGAAAAGTAGGGCAGTATTTCAGGAGTCTGTAATGACCAAACCACCAATATGGAACCTCTACCCCAAAAAAGTATGTTTAGAGAGCTACAAGATAGAAGTAGTTATTTAAAGGAGGGAATGAGTACTGTCTTGAAGTTTGTGGAGTAGAATCTGAGGCTGGGATAGGAAAGATGCATGACGAAAGAAGAAAATTGCAAAGGCTAGGGAGGACAGAGAATTAGAACAGACTAGAGGAGAAGAGAGGGTGTCAGGTTAATAGTTTTGGATTGTCTGTGTGTGGTACATCCTAGAGCTTTGCATGCATCTCAAGAGTCTTATATCACCGATCTTTAATTTTTTTTATCAGCATTCTTGAAGAAAGCCATAATCTCCCTTATTGTTGTTTACTAGCTTAAATAGTGGAGGCTGATCTGAAGTTTCCGATTCTACTCTTGGTATCATACTGCTGTACTGCTGATAGAATTTGTCATGTGATATCTAGATGTGTAATATCAGTTTCTCTTTTTTTAATTACAGTAATAACATGCAAATTCTACGTTGAAACAAGCTCTAAGTTGTAAAGTCAAGCAACTCGTAAATTCCAGAATCAAGCTTGCCTCTGCTTTGTTAATTAAGTTCTCTTGCTGCACCTTATGATACCATCTTTAATTACACGATCACATTAGTTTTTCCAAAGCTGCTTGCTTCACTTCATGCACAGGACAGATCTGCTCAAAGGGTGAATCAGGGCTGTGCAGTGAAGGACACTTTTGCCTGGAGGAGTCTGCTGAACTTTTACAGAAATGGGAAGATTTCTGTTTGAAGGAGAGGGCTGACAAAGAGGGAACTGGCAGGAAGCGGACAGGTGGTCTGAAGAATAGGTCAATTAAATATTCCTTTGGATTATTAGGTATGGTATTAGGCAAACTACTTAGAGCAGGCTTTTTCTAAATGGTCTCTAAGCATGCATCTTGTTTTCTGAGTGTTTTTTGTTGGAAATGTTGAGAGCTCAGAGCTGTAAGCAAAAGTCACCAGAAGCTGTGCGTTAAACATATAGTGGTACCTACTTAAGTCAGTAATGATAAAAAAAACAGATCCTAGGCCTCTGAAGTTGGGTTCTCAAATCCACTTGCTACTTTGATCTCTGATTTTTTTTTTTTTATTATTATTTTTTCTCTCCCTCCCTG